CCTCAAGACTAACCCCAACTCATTCCTAGAGAAAGGCATACATTTTGGGTCCGATAAGTATGTGTGCCTTAGTGTGGAGGACAGTGTGCTACTCGGCCGGAAGGGTAGTTCACCAATGTGTATAATTGTCACAAATATGTGTATGTATTATAAATGTTGACTACTTTTAAGATATGAATTATAAATGTTTTAATTGTTTGTCAGGTTTGGTATGCGCGGTGGGAGATGATAAATGTGCCCCTGGTAAACTTAATACAGTGGTGGGAAAGGTAGCTGATTACTTAAAATCCAGTAACTACTAGTTGGAAATCTTTGATTATTTATTTTTTTAAGTAAAATTACAAAATGATGAGATTTATATAAAGTTAACATTGTATGCCATTTATTAACGTATCGATAATTGTTTTATGTATAATAATTAATATTTAAATTTAATATATCAACTTCAAAACTTTATATTATCGTATTTGAAATAAGATATTAAATTATTTTTACAAAATATTTGTCTATTTATTAACTTTTATAAGATATTCATATCTTTAAAGACATTAGCATCTCATTTATTATATTATATTCACTATATCGAGGGTACATTACCCCATGAATTATGACTTCTGATAACTTATAAAAATAGTTTTCAGATCCAAATCCCACACACAAAAACTTTTGTGTATTCATTGATAATGTATTATAGATTTGTCTTGACTTGTCGTATGTTTTAGTGAATATATTTTGTCATTCATTCTCATTCATTGCCATTCATTTTGATTATATATAAGAGAATTTTACGGCAAGAAAAATTCAAATGGATGACTATAATGCACACCATTTAAACCGTAAATGTCATATCCAAAAGCCATTCATAACACGGTAATGTCAATGCTATAAAGAATTTGATTTATATTTTTAATTCAATTTTTGGATTTATATTTCCATTTCAATCATTCATTTATTCCGTAATTTAATTCTCTGCAAAATATATATATTTATATTGAAAACCATTGACTGATATTTAGATATAATTCATAATAGAAGAGATACGAGAGAAAAGTTTTATTGCATTCAATCCCTTTATCTCTCTCTCTCTCTCTCTCTCTCTCTCTCTCTCGTCTCATTGTATTCATCACTGAATTGAAGTCAAAAACTCTTAAACGCAATGAAGAGTGCATTCATGCGATGCGTTAAACGCTTTTCTCCGGTCTTTATATTCAATATATAAATATTTTTTACTAAACTTTATATGAAAATTCAATATAAGATAAAAAGACTATAATAAATAAGAGACATAAGAATGGGAGATATATATTATATAAATATAATAGTCGTGAGTATTGAGTGGTTTACTGTATGTTTCTCATTGTTTGCCACTGAATTCAATTCAAGCAAACGTTTTTCCACTGAAAATCATATATTTTTTGTCTTTTATTTTTGCCGTTCATTCGTAACATTTATTCGACACAACAATAACTCTTTGAGTGAAATATTTTGATATAATGTTTAATAATTTATTATACAAACCATGAGAGAGAGAGAGAGAGAGAGAGAGAGAGACAGACAGACAGACAGAGAGACAGAGAGAGAGAGAGAGATTCAATATTGACTGGCTGATTGTGTATTATATTTCTATAGACCCGTCATAACGGTTGTCAAAACTTTACATTTATTTCTATTTGCATATAATTAGCCCAAAAATTTAAATCCCGTTTTTAGGTCAAAACGTTTTGGGTTTCGCTGTGTTTTTGTTGTTGTATTGAATGCTTTAATCAATTCTTAAGCAATTCTTGTCATTAGGTTTTGCATTCAAATGCATTTTAAACATAAAAGTCGTTTGATTTCTAATTGTTAATGTTTTCCCAAAATTATAGTCAACACTAATTATAGTGAACCACATAATCAGGAGCAAATTATTAGCACTATATTAATAGTTAATAAACAGAAAAACTTTAAAGTGAGTTGTAATATTTATATTATTTTCACTGAATATTCTTATAACTTACTATATTATAATTTTAAATGATATGAACTGGCTTATTAGCGTTGACTGTATTAATGGTATCACACTAATGATATTTTTGTAATTCAAATACATGCAGTAAAAGAGGATTTAATTCAATAATAGCATTGTTTAGACAAACATATTATTGACTCTCAAATCAATCTTAATTATAATATAAAGACCTTTTATTTTCATTGATTTCTTATATATTAGATAACTCTTCCTAACTGTGTATAAAGTATTGTGACTTAATGTTCACAAATGCCTGCCATTACTGCAAGTATTGTATGGATGAGAGAGAGAGAGAGAGAGAGAGAGAGAGAGAGAGCGAGAGCGAGAGAGAGAGAGAAATGTAGTGAAGTATAGACTCATCAAATCTAATTGATTCCGTTATATTCCTCCCATACCTCCCATTCCCTTCATTTAATAGATATTCAACCATTGATTTAATCAAAAGCCCGGCAATCGATAAAATTAATCTATCGTTAAATCGAGTTTTTTAGACTTAATTTGAATTTTTCTCCCTTTTTTGAGGAGAAAATATAATTATTATTATCTTTACGATACAGTGAACTGTCGATGTAGTGAACTATTAAAATCTACACATCGCGAGTATATGACAGTAATTAATTTATTATCAGTGACATTTTTATATGACCATTAAATATTTGTTTTATACTTATAAATACCAGATAAATAATTTATTATTTATTTTAAAGTTCATACTTATAATGAATTTTTTATTTATGCTAGTATAGCAGTTTAATTATATTAATGTATTATTATAGAGAACCTAATCCTAGCCATGATTTTAAATACTTAACCATTTAATTAGCTTGCAAGACATAAGTCGTGTTTAATATACAGTAATGTATTTTCGTAATTAAGTGCCCATTCATTCAATAATAAGCCAATAGTTGTTTAACTGTAATTAAAAAATCTGTAACTAATCAATGAATGTTGACAAGTAATCTCGTGACACAAACTAATTAATAAAACTAATTGTACGTAAATTATTAATGAATTAAGACATTGATGTTCACAAAACATAGACACGAGTATCGATTATTAGATAAAAATCAAATGTATGTTTTTAATGTCATTAACATCAATGTTATTATATAACGTAGACTTGAAGGTATGGACAGTTTTTTAACATTATATATAAAAATAATTAAATTTGTTATCTCTTATTGGATTTAATACAGTATAATTTCTATTTATAAAGCTTTGATGTTGAAATAAATCAATGCAAATATTTTTGTTTTTAAAAAGTAACTTTTAACTTGAAATATATTTATTTTGTATGTTGGATATATTTTTGCATAATGCATACTTACGAAATGTTTGCTGAATAACTGATAGAATAAAGTTTTATATGTTTTATCTATTTGAAATAAAAACATTTTATATAATTTATATATAAAATATATAAATTCAAGTAAAATTCAAATTTAAATGGCTTTTTATATATTAAATAGATTTAAAATTTATAAATTTCTTTAATGTTTTATATATTGGATTTGATTCCTTTGCATATTTTGGGGAAAACTTTTCCATTAAAAACTATATATAAATTAGAAATAACTTTAGAAAATATAAAATCACATTTATTTATCGTATAAGAAATTTAATATATCAAAAATCAAAATTAATTGCACTCATAAATGTACTTTTGAAAAGTGACAGTACATTAAATGACTTAATATTTATTCTGTATATAAATTCTGTGTATATTTAGCATGTCAGCTTAAAATATAAATTAATATTTATATAAATTCAGATAAAAAATTATCATACTTGAGTTTATTAGTTTTTATATTAAGTATAATTATTATACTATAATAGCATTATAATTCATATATTTTATTATATGTTTCACAAACGTGTAAATGTATTAACAGAACATAATATTATTTAAAATACAAAGAATTTTATCAAAAAGTTTCATACTATTTGGTAAAAATTAATTTATATGTAATAAAATTACTCTATTACAGAGTGTATTCATAAACCTATAATTGCTTAATTTTGAAAATTACCACAGGGTTATTGACACAATATGTTATTCACAAACTGTTTGAGAGTTTAATGACAATTGCAGTCAATGAATATAAATATAATATACTGCATAAAAATAATTATACTGCATATTATACTAGTATTGCACAGAATATCATAGAAAGACAAAGTTATTAAATATGACTTTGGATTTGTACTGTTGTATAATGGTAACAGACATTAACATTATATTCCGCAGACTAATTAACACACATTTATTATGTGAATGGATTACCAACAATGATAGAAAAAATGCAAAATGTTTTTAAATATATATAAATACTGAATGTGGTGTGAATTTGTAAATAAAGTATCATTGACTACAGTAAGCATAATAATGCCGACAGAATATTCTGTCGGAAATTATTGTAGAAATTATTAGAAACAAAATATTTGAATAAAATAAAATAAATTTTGTTGATTATTTGTTAAATGAACTCATTTTTTATTTTGAAAGAGAGAGAGAGAGAGAGAGAGAGAGAGAGATGTATTGCCTGATCGATAGTCGCAATCATTTTCTCATCTATAAGGCAGACAAAATAACATAACAAGTAGTTTAGCTTTAGATTTAAGTCGCTGGAAAGTTAAAGTTAAGTATGAGTTTAGCAATTAATGAGTCGCTACTCAAAGATAGCACACAAAATAGGGACACGAGAAAAAAATTTGACAAATTTGTGTCCATAAAAACCTCTGATTTCTGTGTAACATAACAAAAAAGTCTTTTGACTTTTTGTATGCCTTTCTTGCCGTAAAATTCTCTTATATATAATCAAAATGAATGGCAATGAATGAGAATGAATGACAAAATATATTCACTAAAACATACGACAAGTCAAGACAAATCTATAATACATTATCAATGAATATACAAAAGTTTTTGTGTGTGGGATTTGGATCTGAAAACTATTTTTATAAATTATCAGAAGTCATAATTCATGGGGTAATGTACCCTCGATATAGTGAATATAATATAATAAATGAGATGTTAATGTCTTTAAAGATAAATAGACTAATATTTTGTAAAAATAATTTAATATCTTATTTCAAATACGATAATATAAAGTTTTGAAGTTGATATATTAAATTTAAATATTAATTATTATACATAAAACAATTATCGATACATTAATAAATGGCATACAATGGTAACTTTATATAAATCTCATAATTTTGTAATTTTACTTAAAAAAATAAATAATCAAAGATTTCCAACTAGTAGTTACTGGATTTTAAGTAATCAGCTACCTTTCCCACCACTGTATTCAGTTTACCAGGGGCACATTTATCATCTCCCACCGCGCATACCAAACCTGACAAACAATTAAAACATTTATAATTCATATCTTAAAAGTAGTCAACATTTATAATACATACACATATTTGTGGAAATTATACACATTGGTGAACTACCCTTCCGGCCGAGTAGCACACTGTCCTCCACACTAAGGCACACATACTTATCGGACCCAAAATGTATGCCTTTCTCTAGGAATGAGTTGGGGTTAGTCTTGAGGGCGTCGGCGATCACTTTCAGCTCAGTTTGCGATACCTGTCCATACATTCAGTGGTAATGATAAGAGAAATAGAAATAATTATGAGACAAATGACATACCTGTGCCAACTCGGCTTTGGTATAGCTGGCCCATACCTGGCCATCCGTGAGACCGGCAATGATGGCATACTTGCAGTCAATTTCTTTGATTATCATTTCATCGACGTATGACTGCCACGACATGATTGTATCGGTGCTTCACTTATGATTATAATTAGGTTTTAAATTGAATTTAGAAATCAATGACTGTTTGAATGGTATAGACGTGTATTACAAGACTTATTATAAGGATTATGGTGTTTGAAATGAAAGGTATTGAATGTATAGCACTGTATGAATAGCGAGTAAATGTTGAAACTTTTAAAGACTTGATTTGTAGCACAATGTTTGGATACAAAATTAGATTATTGTGTTCATTAGTCTCATTGGTTTAGATTACATTTGTCTGTGAGCTACAAATGAATGATATTCAAAATAATTATGACTTTGAATTTTGAATTCATTTTATTTGTTCAAAAATTATTGATATAACGTCTAAACTAAATTACAATTTTGTAGACACTTATTGCACAGTCATCTCATTTGCAAGGCTAGTATATTCAATAATTATAATCGTTTACAAATTATACTTTTGTATGATAGGAATAATACTATAGAATAAGTTGAATCACTTATAACACAATATTATACAAACTAGTTCAGCATCAAATAATTTGTACAAACCATACACCACACCAGTACACGTGAATAATTAAATTGTATACTCACTCGTCATTAAAAACAATTCATTTATTAAATAGACTTTTATTTCTTATAATGTAATATAATTAAAACAAACTCTTAAATACATAACAAAATACTTTGGAAGTATGCGAATCACGGCACCAGTGGGGTAGGAGCTCATACGGGAGGTAGTGGTGGTGGGAGGGGTATCTGAACCATGGTTGTGATGATAATTATGATGAATACCTAACCACGAGGTTGTCTCGCAGCGGGTATAGACCATCGGTGGGTACGAGTGCTCGGCGTCGCTCCCGGGATGTCATGTGAACTCTTTGGCGACATATGGGACACGACCTCGACTTCTGGAGCCATTCATTGATACACTTCTTGTGAATATTAGTGAATATTAAACATCGAAATCATTCATTAAAAACAATTCATTTATTTAAATCGCTTTCTTATATATATATAAATATATATCAAATATCAAATATAATAAACATTATAAACACTTAAATACAATTAAAAATATATATAAACATTAAAAGATATGCGAATCAATGCCAGTGAAGTAGGTGTGCATAGGGAAGGTGGTGGCGGTTCAGGTATCTAATCCATGGTCTGATAATCTCGGATCAGTTGTCCAGTGATTGCGAGTGTGAGTGAGTCCGACCACAGCTATAGATACTCGATGAGTGGCGCGTACCAGTGCTCGAGGTCGGGCCCGGGATGCCATCTGAGGCCTATAAGGCCTATACCGACATATGGGACACGATATCGACTTCGAGAGCCACTCATTGATGCACTTCTCGTGGAACCGATGGTCGCAATTGAGCGCCTTTTCCTCGCCATCCATTCCCTCCAGACATATGCAACACATGGCTATCGATTGGTTCATCACATGGTCAGATACTGTGTCTACCGATTGAGATGACTGTCCATCCACTTGATTCATGGCTTGTCCGGTGACGACCTCAACATCGGATGACTCGCATTGAGAGCAGTGGTCGACGGATAAGACATCTATTTCTTCGTGACATTTGTGGCAGAATTGACTGATTATGACTACACTCTCGTTCATTGAGGACATGATTATCACCGCAATTGACACCAAATGAGTGGTAAATAAGAGTTTTACAAATGGAAATGTAAAACAAGTTTTGCAGTCAATGCTAACGACTATTGAGTTCTTTTCCATACACTCAGTGCTTAGATATTGGCTTTTATTATATATGTTAAAAAGTATCAAATATATCTGTCTTAATTCATTTTCAAGTGTATTGAATCTAATTTTGATTTTTATTTGGTAGGGGTCATGCGATAAATAATTGCGCAAAATATTTATTGTTTACTTATTAGTGGACTTTAAAATGTTATTTCAAAGTCAAAACTCTTTTAATAAACTACAGTAAACTTTAAAGCACAGTAACTTAAAAATCATTTATTGTTTGAAAATAAGTTTAAAATAAAATTACTAAACATTGCTCAATTCATAAGACAAATACTGTATATCAAATGATATCAAATCACAATTCACCTAGCATATTTAATTGACAAATTCAAAAAATAATTATAAAATTTTATAAGAGTTCAGAAAATCTAATGATTAGAAACTGAAACATTAAATACAAAATTATATATAAGATATTAAAAACATTATAACAAATGTTAAAAAATAAAACTTAGAAACTCGACAAAAATCACTAAAACCGAGTTAACGTTCAAATCGGTGGCAATACTAGTGTAGGTGCTCATTAGGGATATCACTGGCCGGTCATGTGTTCAAACTTTTTGATGAGAACCTGGACCTGAGTTTTGACCCGTAAGTCCAAAACGATCCTGGGTTTCACAAACAGTACATTATATCTCTCTTTGGTATCCACTTTCCAACGACATATTGGACACGACATGGACTCCGAGAGCCATCCAATGATACACAACGTGTGGAACCGATGCCTACAATTGAGCGCCACTTCCTCTTCACCCAATCCCTCCAGACATATGCAACACATTGCTATCGACTGGTTCACCACTTCTTGGGAGCCTGTGTCCACCGATTGAGATACCTGTCCATCCAATGGATCCAATGATTGTTTGCATACTATCTCTTCGGCTAAAGATGTGTTACATTGCTCGCAATGGCCGACGAATAAGACATCTACTTCTTGACCACATACGCGACAGAAATTACTGTTTATGGCTATACTATCGTCTATTAAAGACATGATTATCACAACAATTAATACGAAATAAGTGCTAAATTAATGACAAAAAGTGTGAATGTGTTTGAATGTAATGAATGAAAATGTAAGACAAGTTTTACAATCAATGTTAATCTCTAGTGTATAATATACGGTATTTATAGGCTATGAATTATAGTTTATAGATATTTTATAGATATAAGTATTAAGTTAGTATCATAAAAGGATTAAAATATTGATATTACTGAATATGAATTGGATATTAAATAGATGTTTCATTTTATAATCAATTTATAAAATAAATATGTATGGTAAAGTGTAATAAATAAATACTATCTATTGATAAAAGTCGTATATTTTTTGTAATAAAATAAGTCATCGTTTAGAAAATGAAAACTTCAAAAGTAGTTTCAATGAGAAAAAATTTTCCATTTATTTTCAATTATGATGGCCTTTCAATAGTTAGGAGAAGCCGTTTGTTTGGTTCACTCCCTTCGCGAGAGATTATTTTATTTTGAAAATTTATTTTTTCTC